GCAAAATAGAAGTCTGGAAAAGGGGTGGCCGATGGCGAGAGCCGACCGACCAGTTAGGGTGGCGACAGCCACCTTTTGTGGCCGACGTCACCAGTTCATTTTTTAGCAAAAGTGTTCCTGTGTTGGGGCAGAAGCAATCTGGAAGTTGGTTCGATGTTCAGAGATCAAACAAATGCAAATAGAGGCAGTTGACGCAAGGCGATGGATTTTCGGGAGGAAGCCAACCGAGCATGATATCTCCCTCACCCGATGGCCACCTTATTGCCTTATTAGCTAGTTGTAGCTGATTAATCAAGTGTTGTAATTAACTAATTTAATTGTTTTGTAATATTTTAATTGGCTTAGCATAGCTAGTTATTCAATTGTGTTGTAATAATTAGTTAACTAGAATATTAATTAGGTGTTTGTAATAATTAGCTTAGCTTAGCTTATTCATTCGGACCCTCCTTCACGAGGGCGCAATGTTGTAATAAGTGTGCGTGCGTACTGTGCATGTCTTCCAACCCCACGTCTTTCTCATTTTATTTAACCCTTTCGATGGTTAGTTTAGGGACATGTTTTGATAGCATACCTTATGCTTGCATGTTTGCATCCATTCATTTGTCTTTGCATGCACCGAGGCTCGGCCGCATCATTCAAACTGCATTGTATTTCAACACTTATTTGAATACGTGTTTCAAAGCATATATCAAATTGTTGCATTCATATGCCATTTTTAGGTAGCCAGTCTATTAATTGCATTATTGCATTGTTGCATTAGGCATCTTAACATAGTTAAAATCATGCATATTTCTAACTGGTTTTGGTTTTGGAGCTTGTGCATGCTTGCATGAGTGTGAGTGCTACCATGTTCCGCGCGCTTGCTATGAGGCTATGTGCTTAAATATATTAACTCCTGAATGCCTGTGGATGAAGGCTTTGTTGCTTGAATTGAACAATTCATCGAATGTATTTTTAACCCACTTTGGAAGTGGCAAATCATGTTTTAAGCCCACTTGAGGTGTCAAATCCGTTCTTTAGCCCACTTGAGGGTGGTAATTTCAAACCACTTTCGAAAGCAAACATGAGTTGAATTCATTCCAAATCTCACGACTTAGTCTATATTGTATGTGTGCCCACATAGTAAAGTTAGCTAATAAATCGGAATAAGAACACATGTGTTTACAAAACAACATATCATGTTTAGTAGAGGCCGATCTTTTGATCGGGCGAGCGGGGTGCTCATTTTAGGACCTTCCCCTTCGTATCCAAGTTCCCGACCCGAGGCAACTTTGGATGATAGACACATGGCCTTTGGATGAGTCAGGGTTTCTAAATTTCCAAAAAAAAATATTTAGGTGGCGACTCTGTAATCTGGCAAAGCAGTCCAATTTTGGCATTATTTGATTTAAAATCGATTTTCCAAAATGAGTTGCCAATTGGACTCTTTGGTGTTTATCAGTCCCACATTGCACTTTGAGATTAGATTAGAACCGTGACAGGAGTCTGAACTATAGGACTAATTCAGCTCTCTAAAGGGGGCGCGGAAAAAGTTGAGCGCAGGGGTTATGTGGCACTTCAGCCAATGCAAGCCACTTCTTCCTAATCCCATTCAAGGTACATGTTGTAGCTTGTTCATGAGGTTGACTGATTGAGCACAGACGTATAACCCCTCATCAACAGCCAAAATATCTTGCACTACCCGAGCCTCAGCCAAGGTAAACCTAGACAAGGAAACATCCTCATCGCTGTGTTCAATTTCCAATACCGGTGTAGTGACTTCTGGCGAAGGATGTATGGAAGAATTTCCGAAAATAATAGCTACCTCTTTCCCATGGGGGTACTTCAACATCTGATGCAGAGTGGAAGAAATAGCTTTCACTTGGTGCGGCCACGGCCGTCCAAGAAGTAAGTTAAAAGTGGCCGAAGCATCCAGGACATGGAAGTCAATATCCTGTTGCGCCGGGCCAACTTGCATTCTGATCCGAACTATTCCCGTCACCTTTCGGCTCGTGTTGTCATAAGCCCGAATCACTTGGGCCGTTGGTATGAAGTCTGCTGGCTTCAAGCCAATAGCATAGGTCGTACGTGACGGACACACATTGATTGTAGATCCTGTATCAACCAAGACAACCGGTATCCACTTTTCTTTACATTCAAACAGAGATGTAGAGTGGTTTATTATGCTCAGAGCCGTCAGGCGGCAATTCTTTGTTTGTGAAAGTCAAAGTCGGCGAAGCGCCCCCGGGGAAAACCAGTCCCACTAACTGCTCGGGAGTTGTCTTGATAGAGAGCTTAGATTTATCCATTGTTGATAGGGCGGCTTGTCTGTGCACTCAGGAAGGCATGAGCAATCCCTAAATGGATATATCTTCTTGAATCTTTTTCAGCTGCTTCAGTATAGCTTCCTCTTCTAGCAGTTTCTCTTTCTGCATTTCTGCTTCCTTATCTTTCCCTGATGCTTTCGGTTGGTCCAGGTGTGGGGGCTTAAAGTACCGGCCACTCCGAGTCATGTAATCGACTTCCTCAGAATACCATGTATCATCTAGTAGATTCTGTCCCCAATCTTCATCTGTGCGGGCAAGATGCAAATCATCATCTTCCCACCACATTCCTCTGGCAACCGGCAAACAACTATCCGGTTCTGTTGTAAGTATGCCTGCGTCCACAACATAGTCAGTCCTTGCAGGGCCCTTGGCTTTTCTAGCCTTCTAATCATTCTCAATTATTTAATGATCGAACCACTTCAGCGTGGATTCCTGTTCTGTATCAGCTGTACAAATGCTACTCAATTCTTAAGCAAAATTCTTAGTACTGGTGCTCTTCGGCGACTTTCCGTTGTCATTTTTTCCATTCTGGCCGTTGCAAAAGTTTCTGTTTCCAGTTGTTCCTGCTTTGGTTGAGACCCCTCATCAACATCCGGTTCATCACTAAGCCACCACGTATTATTCATTGATCCGTTCATATCAAACCAGCCAATCTGTACACTCCCCAAATCTTGTTCATCGAAGAACTGCAGGTTACTGATGTCTTCCTCGAGCTTAACTAAGTCATCCAGTCCTTAGCTTGGTCCATCCTTGCTGACTACATTAACCTCCATTCCTGTCGGCAGTTCTACCCCTAGTCTAGCCTGATTGGTTGGCACAATGTAGCGGCACGATTTTTATTCCTCTTCAGTTAAGCTCATAGAACCCTCAGGCATGCCTTCTTCTACCATAGCCACCACCACAGGTTCGGGTTAGGATATGGACGTGCTCATCATGCACAAGTCTATGCTTTCCGGGATGAACAGCGCCGACTTAGGTAGGTGAGAGGGGCTGATGTATATACTAGGATCGTACGAGATAGCCAGTGTTTGGATAAGGTTTATTTACCTGTGTGAGGGGGCTTCGTTATGTGGTGTGAGAGGATTTGTAGTGATGTTAGGCTTTTGAGGAGGTGCTATCACTTTGTTGTCAATGAGATCCTGAATCTCATGACGGAGTCTAAAGCATAGGTCAGTATCATGACCATGTTGTTGGTGGAAGGCGCAGTATTTGGCTGGGTTGTGTGTAGGAGGGAGGGGATTAGGCAATGGACGCGGCTCTAAGGGCTTTAGTTGCCCTTTTTTTATTAGGACCCTCAAGGCCACAGATAGAGACATGTAGAGTGGGGTGAAAACCCTGTGGCCTTAGGGTTGGTGTTTTGTAGGTTGTGAGGTAGCTTCGGATGTACCGACAAAGGGATTGGCAGTTTTCAGTGTGGTGGTGACCATACCAACATCAGAGATCCTTGCAGCTGCATTACTACTCGTAGTCGCATTAGAATTGTGTGTAAAAGCCCTCTTGGGCTGCTCTTTCTCATGGTTTATCAGACCCTGTTTCATCGCATCCTCTATCTGTACCCTTATCTCATGAAGGTCAACAAATATAGGTAAAGGTAAGACTATCATCTTTTGTAGCAGCCTCGGTTGCAAATTGTGGACGACCATCCTGATCTGGTCCTTTTCAGCTGGCCAGGTGGTCATCATTGAGGCCTTGGCCCTCCACCGAGTGACGAAATCGGAGAAGCCCTCCTTCAGCTCTTGACGAGTTGCTCGAGATCACGAGTTGTGACCTCGATTTGGGTGTTATAGGAGTATTGAGCAATAAAGGCCTCGGCCATCTCTTCCCAGCTCTTTTTCACAGAATCCTCAAGTTTAGCATACCAAATGGCTGCGATACCTGACAAGGTCTTGCCAAAGAGGGATAACTTCTGCAGTCTAGTTAGGGTTATCGAGCACAGAATATTTGAAAATAGCCGTAAGTGGACCATGGGATCACCTGAGCCATCAAAGCGGTCTATATGTGGCATTTTAAATATATCCGACAATGTCACTGCCGAATCTATATAGCCATCCTCTATATCCGGGATTAAATTAACACCTTGAGCTTGTTTAAAATGCTTCTCAAGCTTGCTCACTTTCAGAGCAGTGGGGTCAACCTTAAACTCAAAGGGTGCCTCTGTTGGGTAAACCGGTGCTTTGCAAATCTGGGGTAGGACTGGCTCTGCCATAATGTCTGCATTTTCCTAGACATCAGTAGTAACCCCGGGTATTGGAACCCTGACTGGAGGTGGTTGTGAAGCAGAAGCTACTGCTTGTTGTAGTTGTTGTTGCTGTAGCCTAGCAATAAACTCAGCTTGCTGGGCTGCAATTTTCGCTTGGCGGGCGGTGACTTTCGTTTTGTGAGCAGCGTCTAACAGCATTGCCTCGAGGGTTTGCTGAAGTTGGCGGAGCATGTCCTCCATGTTGACTACAGGATGCTATTCTATCTGAATTGGTGTCTATTCCCTTTCTGAAGTTGAAGCAAACAACTGGGCTTCGCTAAATGAAGGTAACTCCTGAACCGATGAGTTATGCTGGATTCTCCTTCGTCTTGTAACCGGGGTAGCGAAGCAAAAACTAGTTGTCCTCCGATAAGATCCCCTGATCGGTAGAGTCGCCTAACACGAGTCCAGAGTGCTTGGGGGTTAACTACCTCGTTTGAAGCAATTGTGAAACACTACCTTACAAAAAGAAAAAGAAAGCAAAAGAGACAAAAATCAGAAAACGCACAGTACCTCGGCTCAGACAAAGAAAACACACAGTCGAAATCTTAAGTTGGACGACTGTACTCAAACACTGATTTTTGCCCCAAATTTCTACCTCAAAACTGATACCCTTAAACTGATACCCAGACTTGCAACTAATACATACATTCCTACAGAGCTACACTCTAAAAGCACGTATCAAGCAAGTGAGAGTTAAAACACCCCTATGATGGGGTTGGGTTACCCTATCCTAATCTCGTCAGGAGTTAGGGGTTCACTACGTAAACAAGCGGTTTCATACAATCCTGCATTCAGGTGAGCAACCTGTCCTAGTTTGGAACAGTCTCTATGGCTTCCGATATGCAACTAGGCCAATTGGTCAAAAAAGGTACCTCAACAAGACTACCTAATATACTTGTGATAACCCTACTTCATATTATGCTAATTGATTTTAATTATGATTGTGATTATGTGTTTAATTTGGTCTTGAGTGATAATTAAGTGATCATATGTGTTTTCGTATTTCTATCTGTTCACCGTAGGAAAATCTATTTGATTTTCTGCTTTAAGATTTTAATTGAAGGCCTTAAAGGCATCAGAAACTAAAATTGATTACGCCATTGTGATTAGCATAATTTTAGTGCCTATGGTGAAATTTAATTGGAAGCTGATTCAGAATGAATTAATTAGTTTAAATTGATTGAATTAAGCACCATTAGTTAATCCTAATCAAATTGGATTAACAAGGTTCATATATAAGGGGCCGTATTACACTTAAGCTCATTGTTTTGAGCTCAAATCAGATTGTATATTCTAGAGAGAGAGAGAGAGAGAGGGGGGGCCGATTTAGAGAGGGAGACAAGGCATCCTTGTAGATTTTTGCAAGGGAATTCAAGGTTTGGAAGCTAGACTCAAGAGCTAGCTAGGAATTGAAAGATTTGAGCCTCTAGGTGAGTAATTGAGCATGAAATTCATGAGTTTGAGTTTGCGACTTTGTGAATTCAAGTTAGATTGTAATCAAGAATGTGAATTGTGTTGAATTTGGTGAATTTGAACTTTATGCACATGCATGTATAGAATTGCCATGATTTTACACATTCAAGCATGGAGCATATTGAACATGATGAATTGGGCACCAAATCTCACATGCATGCATAATTCTCATGAGTTTCATGATTATAAGAATCATTTATACCATTTGAAACAAGATTGGAGCCAAAAGTCAACATGCATGTATGATTGATGAAAAATTGGACTTGTACGAAGTTGAATGCATGGTTTTGAAACTTATAAAGAAAATTCAAGATGATTTTGTGAATGAACCATGATTTTGAAGAATTGGCCTCATATTGCTTGTGTCCTCATGATATATAATGTGTTCCCACATTTTTGAACCAAAAACAAGAGTTTTGAGCCTTTGAATGCCAAGTTTGAACTTCAAGAACAATTCTGAAAATTCTAGAATTTGGCATATCCGCTCGAGCGGGGGAAGGGCCACTTGAGCGCGAAATGCTAGCTCCCAGAACTTTTGCAGACATTGATATCCGCTCGAGCAGGGAGAGTCACGCTCGAGCATCAGTCACATGTTTTGACTCTCAGCTCGAGCGTCCTAAATCACGCTCGAGCGTAAAAATGAGGCAACTAGTACTTTTGCAGACCCAAGGGGTCCGCTCGAGCGGCAGAAACCGCGCTCGAGCGGGGAGCCTTGTTTCAAAAATTTTGTATAGCTGATTTTACGTTTTGTTTCTATTCTCTTTCACTCCTAAGCACTCTTAGGCATACATTGAGCATTGTAAATGGACTAAGAAGATAAGAAAGAGGCCAAACTTCCTAAATGAGGGAATTTTTGTGATAACCCTATTCCGTAGTATGCTAATTGATTTAATTATGATTGTGATTATGTGTTTAATGTGATTTTGGGTGCCATTGATATGTCATATGTGGTTTTGAATTTTTATCTGTTCACCGTAGGAAAATTTTGTTTAACTTATTGTTATGAATTGAAAATTAAAGGCCTTATCAGCCACAGAAACTGAAATTGACTATGCCATTGTGATTGTCATAATTTTTAGAGCCTATGGTGAAATTTAATTGAAAATTTATTTGGAACAAAATAATTAGATTCAGAACGATTAATTAAGCACCATTGCTTAGCTCTAATCAAATTTGATTAGGCCATCTTATATAAAGGCCTATATAGCCTTACGTTTTTGTTTTGAACTCACTTTCTCTCAGTTGGCTGAGATTTCTCTAGAGAGAGAGAAGAGGAGGAAATATGCATTTTGGTTCAAGATTGTGAATTTGGAAAGCTAAACTCAAGATTTAACTAGAATTTGTGAAGATTAAAGCTCCTACGTGAGTAAATTTATGAGTTTGAGCTTGTGATTGTGTGAATTCAAGATTAAATGGTAACCAAGAACATGAGTTGTGTTGAATTTGGTGGAGCTAGCTAGGAATTGAAAGATTTGAGCCTGTAGGTGAGTTTCATGATTATAAGAATCATGGAGCATGTTGAACATGATGAATTGGGCACCAAATCTCACATGCATGCATAATTCTCATGAGTTTCATGATTATAAGAATCATTTATACCATTTGAAACAAGATTGGAGTCAAAAGTTAACATGCATGTATGATTGATGAAAAAATGGACTTGTATGAAGTTGAATGCATGGTTTTGAAACTTATAAAGAAAATTCAAGATGATTTTGTGAATGGACCATGATTTTGAAGAATTGGCCTCATATTGCTTCTGTCCTCATGATATATAATGTGTTCCCACTTGAGCACGAAATGCTAGCTCCCATAACTTTTGCAGACATTGATATCCGCTCGAGCAGGGAGAGTCACGCTCGAGCATCAATCACATGTTTTGACTCTCAACTCGAGCATTCTAAATCACGCTCGAGCGTAAAAATGAGGCAACCAGTACTTTTGCAGACCCAAGGGGTCCGCTCGAGCGGCAGAAACCGCGCTCGAGCGGGGAGCCCTATTTCAGAAATTTTGTATAGCTGATTTTACGTTTTGTTTCTATTCTCTTTCACTCCTAAGCACTCTTAGGCATACATTGAGCATTGTAAATGGACTAAGAAGATAAGAAAGAGGCCTAAGAGGAATGTATGAGTTAAGAGTGGATTGAATCGTTTGTGACCCGATATGTGTTATGTATTATGTAGGGTAATGCACAAGGACGAATCCATCGGCAGAACACAGTGAGTAATATCTTAGTAAAGACATTTTGAAATATGCTATTTGTCCAATTGCTTACTTTTATTTGAATTTCATAAGTCTGTTAATTTGAAATATGGACAAATATTCATTATGCCAAACGATTAGGCCAAAAGGCCGTCAGATATGAATGATTGGGCCAGAGGCCGTCGGATATGAATGATTGGGCCAGAGGCCATCGGATATGAATGACTGGGCTAGAGGCCGTCGGACATGAATGATTGGGCTGCAGGCCGTCGGACATGAATGATTGGGCCAAAGGCCATCGGATATGAACGATTGGGCCAAAGGCCGTTGGACATGAATGATTGGGCCAAAGGCCGTCGGATATGAATGAATTGGGCCCGAGGCCATTTGACACATTTGGATCTGTAGTCACTTGATATACTAGATAGAAATATGAATTGGGCCCAAGGCCGTCTGATCTTTTTTGTTTTAAATTCCGTTCATGTATCTTCTTTATTTGATATTATTCACTGGGCTTTCACTCACTCTCATTCATGTGTCTGTAGGTGAGCCAAGAGATGTCCAAACCCAGCCCCAGTGAAGTATGTGTGAAACAGTCGAAGTTTTGAGGAGTCAGCCCTTACGTCTCACGCATGAGACTTTCTTTTTACCCATTTGTTCTTTTGTTATATCTTTGCCATGTGGGCGAAAATGTTGAATTACCTTTGTATATATGTTTTGTTTGGCTGACTGTACGACTGAAAGTTCCTGGATATGGATTAACCATATGGGTATGTGTGAGTTATTATGAAATACTTTTGGAATGATTTTGCTATACCATGTAAGCACAACCATATGGACAAAGTTTTAAATTTGCTTTCGTTTTGGCCCCTTTACTCTATTGAAATACATTTTATTTGGTCTGAGGCCATAGGTAATCTCATGATTACTGGCCGATTATGTCCTTAACCCATCGGGGCGGGTTCGAGTCATGACAACACCTCTCACACCTAACACCGAGAAGTGAATGGAGGATCAAACGGTACAGCAGTAGTCTAGATCCAAGGGTTGTGTTCCCATCATGGCAGAGCCCGCAACCGGTTAGCCTTTTGGCAATCTTTTCCAAGCAAGCCTCCGACAAACCGCTCAGGAATAGCAGATGGAAAACACTGTGACTTAGGCGCATCAACGCAAATGTAATGCAAAGAAACACATAAGTGTAGATAAAATAACATATCATGAGTTTGAGTCAAGTTCTCTAAGTCCCCAGCAGAGTCGCCAGAAACTGTAGCTCGACTTTTTCTCGCTCCCTTTTTGGAAGCTCAAATTGGTCCTACAGTTCAAACTCCTATCACGGTTCTAAATCTAGTCTCGCAAGTGCAATGTGAAACTGACAATCACTAAAAAGTTTAATCCGGCAAATCGTTTTGGAAAATCAGATTTTAAATCAAATAATGTCAAAATTAGACTGCTTTGCCAGATTACAGTGTCGCTACCTAAATATTTTATTTTCGGGAAAATTTAGGAAACCCTGACTTGTGCTAAAGGCCACGTGTCCGTCATCACCAAAGTTGCCTCGGCTCGGGAGCTTGGGTACGAAAGGGGAAGGTCCTAAAATGAGCACTCCCGCTTGCCCGATCAAAGATCGGCCTCTACTAATCATGATATGTTGTTTTATAAACCTCATGTGTTCTTGTCCAGTTATTAATCTAACTTTCCTATGTGACGCACACAAGCAAGTATAGACTAAATTGGAAGAATTGGAACATTTCAAGTCATGTTTTGTTTTCGAAAAATGGTTTGAATTTGCAACCCTCAAGTGGGCTAAAACACGGATTTGACATCAAACAAGATGGGCTTAAAACATGATTTTGCCACTTCACAAAGTGCATTTTAAAACATACATTCGTTGAATTATTCCAATTCAAACAACAAAGCCTTCATCCACAGACATTCATACAGTTTAGCAAGTAAGCACATAGCCTCATGGCAAGCATGCGAAACATGGAAATATGGCAATCACACTCATGCAAGTATGCTAAAGCATAAAACTTACCGAGTACTCCAAGCCAAAACAAAAACTAGTTAGAAAGATGCATGATCCTAACTATATAAGGTGCCTAATGCAACACATGCGATATGAAATTAATAGGCTTGGCTACTAATATGGCATTTGATTTGTAACACTTTGATAGCATGCTTTGAAACACGTATTCAAAGAAGTCTTGAATTGACAATGCAGTTTGAATGATGCGCCGAGCCTCGGTGCATGCAAGACAAATGAATGATGCAAACATGCAAGCATAAGGTTTGCTAATTGAAAATGATCCCTAGTCTAACCATCGAAAGAGGATAAAATAAAAGGGAGAAAGACGTGAGGTTGGAAGACATGCACACACGCACGCCCACTTATTACAACATTGTGCCCTCGCGAAGAAGGGTTAGAATGAATAAGCTAACTAGCTACACTAATTAAGCTAAGCTATTACAAACCAAAACTAATTAACTAACTTATTCCAAGCTAATTAATTACAACAAATCAGAATTGAATAACTAGTTACACTAACTAATTTAAATTAATTAAATGGCCTCGAGGGCGAGGGAGACATGCATGCTCTGTTGGCTTCCTCCCGAAAATCCACCGCCTTGCCATCGGATGCCTCTGTTTGCACTCGTTAGATCTCTGAAAATTGTACCAACTCCTAGAATGCCTTTGCTCCAACTCAGGAACACACTGGTGGAAAATTCATTTCTGGCCGGTCGGCTACCAATGGTGGCTGTCGGGGACTTCTGGTGGCCGGTTGGCCGCTGCTTTCCTGGACTTCCCTTTTTGCTACAACAGAGAGCAAACAGAGGCAAATCAGTGTATTGTCAAGGAATATATGTGTACTATTACCCTCCTTATCATTACACAAAGTCAAAGGAGTGTAATTCTTGGCTTCAAAACCACCAACCAATCATTCTCAATGCATGATGGCCAAAGAACCAAGATATACAACCTCATTGTATGCAAAAATAAGACTCAAGACCATCACCTTATCATGTGTGATCAAAGGCAATGGAGACCAAGGAGATTGGCTCATTTCATCACTTTGAGTATGAAATGCTCAAATCTTCCTTGTGTTCAATATAACGTCCGATTGAACACATGCAATGCAACATGGAAGATGCTTTATCTTGCCTCTTTTACTTATTTATTTTTGTTTACCCATTTTAGCTTACTGATTAAGGCCGAAATGTACATCATTGAGGCCGTTAATTAGAATCTCTTAACTTCACTTGCTGGTCAAACTGTATATTTTATGTGTGTTGAGTGTCAATCAGGTTGTACATCATCGGAGCATAAAATGAGCAAAATGACAGAATTTGGGCAGAGTTGACTTTTTCGCACGTGCGTTGACTTTTTCTGGGAAAGTCAAACCGACGTTTTAAACCTGTTTGGATGAGATTGGAAGTATAAAAAGGCAAGTAAAAGGCTGGATTAGGGTCGGAAGTTGTTTTGACCTAAAGAGAGAGGCTAGGGTTTTGAAGGGAAGAGAAACAAAAAACTTCAAGGATGTCTCCCATGGTGGTTTCTTCTCCATCTACCTCCTTTCACTCCTCCATGAGTGGCTAGTCTTCTTTTCTATCCCCAGCGATACACACTCCCAGAACTTTTACAGAACCAGGTCTCCGCTCGAGCTTCCAACTCCTCGCTCGAGCGGCACTCACACAACCCCGCTCGAGCGGCCAACTACATGCTCGAGCGTCCAACACTGCACAGGAAATACTGGATGGGTGCAATTCCCACTCGAGCGCCAAAACCCCCGCTCGAGCGGACAGGTCAAAATCTAGACAACTAGTTTTGGTTTCTAAGCTCAACCAACCTGTAACAAACCTGCCCAACACATCCTATAACTCAAATACAAAGTAAAAAGGATGTAAACAAGATAATAATCAACTACCAACATCCACGGACACATGTCCGGATCACTGTACAACAAGGGTAAACCCGGGATCGCTATACAGCTCAACTCCATCATCAGCCAATTTCCAATCGAAAGAGTGAACCAAAGAGCCTAAAATGTACTTAACAAGAACAATCCCCATTCTAGTACCAGCACAGATCCTCCTCCTAGCACCAAACGGAATCAGCTCAAAATCGTTTCCACGCGGATCAGTCTTTGCCTTCTTTCCAATCAAAAATCTCTCAGGAATTAATTCTAATGGCCTTTCCCACACATTAGGGTCTCGGCCTATGGCCCAAATGTTGATACTGAGTCTAGTGTTTTTTGGGATGTAATAACCATTCACTTCGCAAGCTTCAGCAGAGACTCTGAGAAGATTCAGAGGCGTTGAAGGGTGCTTTCTAAATGTTTCCTTGCATATGGCTTGTAAGTATGAGAGTTTGGGTAGGTCGGATTCCTCTAGGCTCCGGTTTTTTCCGATGACTCGATCCATCTCGTGGTGTGCCCGCTTGAGGATTTTTGGATTCTTGAGCATTTCAGCGAGTGCCCATTCTATTGAGCTTGATGATGTATCGGTTCCAGCAGTGAATAAGTTCTAGCAAATGACATGAAATATTAAGAAATCAATTCAAGTAGTCACAAGTGTGATATCCCTGTTTCGTAATATGTTAATTGGTCCTTAATATGAGTATGATTATGTGTTTAATATGATTTTGTGTGTCATTATGTGAAAATATGTGGTTTGGAATTTCTATCTGTTCACCGTAAGAATATCTTTTTGATTATCTGCTTTGGAAATTAAATTGAAGGTTCTATTAGCCACCGAAACCAAAATTAGTCGTGCCATTGTGATTAGCATAATTTTTAGAGCCTACGGTGAAGTTTAATTAAAAAATTGATTCGGACCAGATTAAATTGATGAATTAGTACCCAATTATTTATTATTATTAAATTGGTGCTAGTGGGAACTTATGTAAAGAGGCACTATACACTTAATTGATACACTTGAGCTCAAAAATCAGATTTTGTGCCTTGAGAGAGAGAGGGCCGGATATAGAGAGAGAAAGGGAGAGAATTGTGTAATCTTGGCTCAAGGTTTGGGAATTTGAAGATTTGACTCAAGAATTGGCTAAAGTTTGGGGGTTTGAAGCTCCTAGGTAAGTGAATTCATGAATTTTAGGTTATCATCTTGTGAATTCAAGTTTGAATAATGGTCAAGAACATGGATTAAATTGATTATGAGGAAATTGAGTTGATTTTGTTGTATTTGAAGTCATTAGAGGCATGCATGTAGGAAATTGCTATAAATTTCCATGTTTAAGCATAAATTGTGTAATCCATGATGAATCTTGTTTGAAATCCATGTATTTGATCATCTCTTCACCAATTAAATTGAGAATAATGAATATCTCTCACATGCAAGTGTAGATCATGGAGGTGAGAGCTTTGCATATTTGAATTTGATGTGTTGGTGATGAGTTTGGGTTAATTTGAGGCATGCATGTGAGAAATTCTTGGAATTAAGCTTCATAATGTTGAAATTCAGTGTTTATACCATGCTAGTATATATATATATGTGAAGTTTGAGCCAAAATCATGCATTTGGAACCTTTGAATATCAAGTTGAAACTCAAGAATGTGTTTTGGAAAACCCAAAATTTTTTATGTCCGCTCGAGCAGGGGAAGAGATGCTCGAGTGGGAAATTCGTGCTCCCAGTATTTTTTCAAGACATGGATGTCCGCTCAAGCAGGGAAGCTCACGCTCGAGCGGAGAGCCACGTAGAGAGGCCTTCCGCTCGAGCGCCAGAGTGCACGATCAAGCGTAAATTTGACATATCCAGTACTTTTGCAAGCCTCAAGGGTCCGCTCAAGCGGGGAAGCCCATGCTCGAGCGAAGACCCTATTTTTTGAAATTTTGAAAAGGACATTCTGTGTTTCATTTTCTGTTCTCTTTCACTTCTAAGTACTCTTAGGCATGCATTGAGCATTGTAATTGAGTTAAAGAGATAAGAATGAAGCCTAAAGAGGAAAATGTGAATTTAGAACGGATTGAGTTGTTTGTGACCCTTTTGTATTCATGAAATGTGTAGGGTCGAGCTCTAGGGCAAACCAACCAACCGATCACTGTGAGTAATATCGATACCTTGAAGTCGTCATTTGTCCAATTGCTTATTTCCTTATAAGCCTTATAAGCTTGCTAGTTTGAATTACGGACAAATGTTTGATATGAATCAATGAATGGGCCAGAGGCCAGTTTGACTTGAATGAATGGGCCAGAGGCTAGTCTAATATGAATGAATGGACCAGAGGCCAGTTTGACATCAATGAATGGGCCAGAGGCCAGTTTGACATCAATGAATAGGCCAGATGCTAGTTTGACATGAATGGAAGATAAATTGGGCCAAAGGCCAGTATGTTTGGAACCACAGCCACTTGACTTGAATTGTATATATATATATATATATGTTAAATAGAAATATGAATTAGGCCCAAGGCCGTTTGAAGCATGTTGTTCTACGTACCGTCTGTATAACTCCTTTATTTGATATTATTCACTGGGCTATCGCCCACGCTTATTGATGTGTTTGTAGGTGAGCCAAGAGGAGTTCAGACCCAGCCTCAGTGTTATCTGTATGGAACAACAAAGGTTTTGAAGGGTCAGCCCTTGCGTCTCGCACACGAGACCCGTCTTCGCCTTTTTATCATTCTGTTTTATTTTGTCATGTGGGCGAAGTCTTTGAATATAGTGTATATAGTTTTGATAGGTTGACTTAGACTTATATGATCCTGTATGTACAGAACCTTATGCAGTACATATTTTGTTGTGAGTTATTAATATGTAGATGTATGGTTTGTAATGATGTGCCATGTAAGCACAGCTTTATGGACAAAGTTTTTAATTTCTTCTGTTTGGCCCCCATTAACTCTGTTAAAACACATAACGTTTGGTTTGAGGCCGTATGCAATCTTATGATTACTGGCCGGTTATGTCCTTAATCCACGGGGGCAAGTTCGGGTCATGACAGAGTGGTATTAGAGTACGAGTTAATAACTCACACACTTGTCCAAAAGAGCAATAAGCATCTAGAAAAGATCTAGGATGCATTCATGTGATAAGTCTGAATTTGAAAGCATCAAGAATATGCTTAAATGTTTTGATACGAACAATTATGTGTTATAAGTTGTGATTTGCTTGCATTGCAAATTATCTGAATATGTATGTTCTTTAGTATATGCATACTTGTGAATCTTTTGTGTGAAAAATAATGCAAGTTTAATCAGATGGTGAGAACAAGAGGTGATAAAATAGAGAAATCCTTTACCACCAGGATAGACATAATGGAAAGATTGATACAGGAAATGGCAGAAACTTTGATACAGCAACTGGAGTGGCAACAATAGTGGCAGCAACCACACCCGCCACCTCCACCTCCACCTCTGGCACCACCCGTGCCAGATAATCAGAATGATGATCGGATAATAGCTCTCACCAAAGAATTCAACAAGATGAAACCACCACAGTTCCACGAGGGATTAGATCCGTTGAAAGCCGAAGCATGGGTCCTCGACATTAAGAAACTGTTTGAAGTGTTCCCCTGTTCAGAGACACAGAAATTGCTTCTAGCCACTTTTATGCTAGAAGACGAGGCAAGAAGATGGTGGATGTTAATGCGAGAAAATCACAGGGATGTTGATTGGGCGAAATTTTTGGAAATTTTCTATGACAAGCACTTCACACAGTATGTTCGGGATAGGAAAGTAGCAGAGTTCATGGAACTAAGGCAAGACAGTATGACCGTAGCTGAGTATGAGGCCAAATTCACCGAATTGGCCAGGTTTGCACCACATGTAATTGATACTGACTATAAGAAGGCGAGACACTTTGAAGGTGGGCTTCGAAGTGATATTTTAGAAAGAGTGAATGTCTTGAAGTTGGAGACTTACATTGGGGTGCTAGATAGGGCCATCATATCAGAGGCTAACATAGCTAGACAAGCTAAGCCACCAACGGAGTGGAAAGGCAATAAAAGACAAGGCTTCTTTTCAAAGAAGAAATTTCTGAAAAAGCAAAACACGGGCTCCTCAAGTACTTCGAATTCTTCCCGACACGCATCTCCCATGTGCAATATTTGTAGCAAAAGGCACCGTGGGGTTTGTTACCATGCGTCAGGGGCCTGTTTCAAGTGTGGTAAACTGTTACGACCCAAACCCGGCCCTATGGGTTTAGCACCGTAACCGGCCAGTAATCCGAGATTACCGAAGGCCTGCAGAACAGTAAAACAGTAAAACAGAGTACAGGGCCTGGCGGAAGCCAAAACAGTAAATAAACAATGTCCAATGAGCTGTGACAGTCTGTATGCAAAAAGACTTTCATACATATATACATAATCAATACAGAACAGTATGCACAAAATGCACAATCATTCAGACTAGGGACTTACTCCCTACATAACAGTACAGTAAGCATTTGAGCTGATGAAATGTGTATGTATGAGTGTAATGAGGCTCAAAGATGATTCAAGTAGTGGGCCACTTAAGTGGCATTAAGGTAATTAAGTCAAATTATGCAATCTATCAATATTTAATCTAATTCAATCATACCTAATCAGTTTTCAGATAAATACACCATAAGATCACATCAATTATGAGGATCATAAAACATCAATCAATTCCCGGTTTGGCCGCCGATAAGGCCTTCAATTAGCAGTTTAAACATAATCTTTACAGAACAGTATGCGCAAAATGCACAATCATTCAGACTAGGGACTCAACCCTTGATAACAGTACGGTAAACATTCAGTCTATACAGAACAGTAAGAC